GAGCTTGATATGCTGACCAATTTTCGGAATCCTTGCTTATTTTTGTCCATTTGATGTGTTTTGTCCTAAGTGTGGTGACCTAAAGTCTCTTTTTATTAGTGCGTTTCTGTTTTTATCTCCTGTGGCTCCTGCGGTTTTTGCTTTGCGGCGTTGGGGGTGCTGTGTGCACTGTTATCTGGTACCTAACTGTTCGAAGCTTTTCTTTTAATAGATGAATGAATGAAGCCCATTCACCTTTATTGATGATGACCAACATGCTTGGTCTTTTCTCTTTCATGATATTTTTATAATTATGTGTATTTTTTATGTTTGCTGTGATCATCCTCCTCTAAAGTGTATATTCTTTGTTCTTTAAAATTTTTTGTTTGTATTGAGGACGGTTTATAATTATATTTGGGTGGTTATTTTTGCATGCAAACCTTATTAAATATCTTCTGTCCCTTGGTTTTTACTTAACCGTTCAGCTTCTTGGTTCCTGTTGGTTCTGAGCTCCAGTCGCTGCCCCCCAGCCGCCAGTGAGCCTGTCCACACCGTGTTGTCTATTCCCTGGCTCTCCGCTTCCTTGTTACAATACACGACCTTCCACCTTACCCCCCCACCTCTGCATTAGTGTAAGGTACACATTTCTGTGTAAGTGCTTATCCCCATCTCATTGTCGTGGTTCCCCCACCCACCTCTTGCTTGGATGGCGCCTGCCCTGCGGCAGAGCCCCTGGGCAGGCCTTGGTGCGGGGTACCCTGACGTTTGTATGTGGAAAACGGTTCTTTTGTGGCTTTGATAGGGAGGACAGTTTGGCTGGATATAAAATCCTTGGTTTACACTTTCTTTCAGTAATTTTGTGTATGCTCATCCATGGTCACCTCACTTTGTAAGTTGGTTTTGAAAAGCCTGATGCCAGGTCAATTTTCTTACCTTTGTAATTTATTTTCTCTTTTTACCTGGAGGCCTCATCTCTTTCTTTGAAAAGTAATAGTTTTGTGAGGATACATCAGAGTTGATAGAATGCAGATTTTGGTCTCTGTTTTCCCAGAATGTTCTCTTGGATTCTGGTTTCAGTGTCTCTTGTGCTCCGTTGTCTGTTTTCCTTCTTCAGAGGCTCTGATAACGCAGTACTAGCCTTTGCTGGCCTGCCGCCCCCGCCTTCCCTGGGCCTGTCGTTGTGTGTGCCCCTCGCTGGCCCGCCTTTCTTCACGGTTTCCCTCCTTGGCACCTTGTAGTTAACTTTACTCATTTCTGACATATTGTTTCCTTTTCATTTTTTTCTTGCATTTAGTCAACTCTTATATTTTTCTGTTTTTAAGATATTTATTTTAGAGAGAGAGAGAGAGTGTGCGTATGAGTGGGGGAGGGAGAGAGAGCATCCTAAGCAGACTCCACACTGAGCGTGGAGCGGCCCTGAGATCACAACCTGAGCCGAAACCAAGATTTGGATGCTCAACTGACTGCACTACCCAGGCACCCCTCTGTTTTTTCATCTCCTTCTTTGTTACTATTTCCGGTTTTGATTCAGAGCAATTTTCATGTCCTCAAATGCTCAAGTACGTTTTTTGTTGTTGAAAGGTCTGTCTTACAGTGTTGTTTTTCCAGACAGAACTGGTCTCTGATGTGTGTGGAATTCCATTTTCTGACTTTCTTTATGGATTTGCTAATCTTCCTCCTGTTCATTTTTGTGGTAGTTGGGGGTCTCGCAAGACTCGCGGTCTGATGGCGCCCTCTTCTGCCAGTGCTGGAATGTTGGGTAGCGTAGCTGGTTTTTGGATTGTGTTGGTTGTAGGGGGGGTCATGTGTCCTTTGATGGTGGGGTTCCTGTCTTGTGGGACCCTAAGTGTCCCTTTACTTCCTTCCCTTTCAGCACCTGGTTTTCAGATGGCCCTTGTCAGAGGCTCTGTTTTCCGAGGACTCTGCCCACGCCTGTCCCTGTGTCTGTGCTCTGGGCGCTCAGACTGGGGTGGACCAGCAGCCATTCTGGGCTGGCTTTTGCTGGACCATGGCCCCTCGCGGTCTCCCTCATCTGTCTTTGCTCTGTGGGTGCAGTGGGGCCCTGCTGAGGATGGGCCAGTTCTGCTCATTTGGGGTCCTTTTGGAGCAGGGTGCTCCCCGTCTTCACATTATGCTGATGGAGTGATATCTGTATAGATTGGTGTTTCCCTTTTTGTTCTGAGTTTTTTGGGGAGAGAGAGGGGAGCTGCTGGGGTGACTCGATGGCAGCATGCTGTCTCCCCCTCCCGTGAGTGGTGTGCATCCTCCTAGGGCGAGTACCTGAGTATCTTTACCGCGGCTGCGCCTGCGCAGGTGTGTCTGTGTTCTGGACGGTGAGGGCGCAGAGAGGGGTGTAACCGAGTTTGGGAACCGCGCCATCGCGAGGGCGAGCGGAGGAGCCGTTTGTCCAGCTGAAGCCGGGGGCGTGGGAGCAGCCTTGAGAGTCACCTCGCCTGGGAGCCACCTTGCTGTGCTTCTGGGCCGCCAGGAATCGGGCTCCCCAGCCCCTGAGGTGGAAATTTCGCTGAGGCAGTTCCCGAGGGGCCCGGGGCTGGGGGCGCCTGTTCTCAGATTCTCAAGAGTCGTGGGAAGCTCAGAGCCGTGCCAGGGGCCCCTCCCCCAGTGGGTCATGCACCGCCTCTGCACAGCTCTGGGCTCCCAAGAGTGAGGCTGACCCCACAAGCCAGGTGGGATGTGGACGGAAGGTGTTTTTTCTTTCCATTTGGTTTTGCATCAAGTGTTTGTTGGCTGTCAGATTGATTGTGGCGTTTTGACCATGGAAAGGTTGCCTTCAAAAGAAGTAGCTTCCTTTTGTCAGTCTTTCCAATGGTCCTGTGACAGAGAGGCTCCACTTGCCAAGGAGGAAGCACTGGAGCCTACGTGCTGCCGCCAAGGTCGTTTTTTTTTTGTTTCTAGCCCCAGGGCCTGCAAAAACAAAGCAAACTAAACAGCCCTTGATGGGGTGTGAATGTTGGTGAAGTTGGTCCTGCGCACCACTGCCTCCCAGGCCCGACATTGGCCCTTGCCTGGCAGAGTTTTCTGTTACTCTCCGTCTGCAGGGGAGGCGGGCGGCTCAGGGCCCCTCCCTCAGGCTCTGCCCGCCCTGCCCGGCTGGCCCCACGACCCTGGAGGGAAGACGGTGAAGACGTGTCCTTCCATTTTGGTGTGAAATGGAAGAAACAGTGCTTATCCCATGTAATTAGAAGTACTTTGGCTATCAAGTAGGATATCTTTGAACATAGGCTATTTGTAAAAGTTCATAGAACCACGAGAAGTTACGGTTTCTCACTGACCTTTAGAGCGTGCGCGCTGCTTGGGCCTGAGGGAAGCGCGCGGCCAGCCGTCCTGGGCCGTGCTGACACATACCCATCAGAATGCTTTGACACCAGTTTTGATTTCTAAAATATATTGCAATAAAGCATTATTTATCTCGGTTTCTGACTTTTAGCACCTGTTAATTTGCACCTGAAGCGGGTACCTCACCCTTGTTCCACCCGTTTTGGCTGTTGAGCTATTTGGAAAGTAGGAACATCACATGTGGTCCAGAATTGGCCACGAGTGTTGCAGAGGTATTTCAGTCCATCGTGTAAGGTAGGGCCTTTGCTCTCCACGTGGCCGCACCTGTCCCCGTGAACCTCGAGGTCAGGAGTGGTGTCTGCAGGGGAGGGGAGGAGGGAAGGCTGCTGTCGGCGGGCAGCTTTCTTTCCAGAAACTGGCCTCTGCTTGGGCCTGCTGGGCTCTCCCTGTGGTGTGCGGGGTCCAGAGTAGCGGGCCCGGATGGCCGCCATGCTTGCGTTCCTCCTGTTCCTGCAGACTTTGTTTTCATCACACGCCTCTGCAGGGGCGCTCTTTGTGTCTTGCACGAAACGCTTTAGGGCTGTTGCCTAGACTCAGGGAAACGCCGAGAAAACCTGAATCGTTCTTTGAAACGAGGAAAAGTAGCCACCACAGGGACTAGCCTGGAGGAGGGATCTTGGCGGGTAAGGGTGTCTGAAGGGGGTGTGAAGTAGTGTAATTGAGGTTGAAGGTGCGCGCGCACAAGGACACGAACAGCCGTGCCCCAGCCTGGTGGAAGGGGACTCAGGTGGCGATGGACCAGGTGCCCAGAGCACGGTGTGCTGGGTGCTGTGGTCCTCGCCTGCCACCTGCTGGCCGGCTCCCAGAACTGTGGCCTGGTCTGGGCAGGGCTCTTCCGCTGTCGGGGAATTCTTTCCTCCCACCTCCTTAAACTTGAGAACAAGCTGTAAAAATATCCTTGTCACGTTTGCACCTGAAACATACCTGAGTGACTTTAACCATCAGAATACAGACTTAGTTTCCATTCCGAATGGAAAAACGAGCGCCGTCTAATTGGGAGTTGTGTGGTTTGAGGCCCCGGAGCATCGGATGGAGACGCAGTGCTGGAACCACAGGACGTGGAGGCTGGGTGGCCATGATGCCTCCAGGAAAACGGCCCCGGTGACTCCGTGTCCGTGAGCAGGCGTCAGAGACTCGCAGAAACTCGGCCTTTCCTCCAGCGGTGCAGGCCCTGTGCTGAAGCGCTGCTGTCAGCTCGGGAAACAGGGCGGTCCCCTCTTGGCCTCGGATGACCATGGTCGCCACAGAGTACTGTGCCCCAACAAGCTAACCGGCTGACCACAGCCTGCCCAGTCCAGGAGTTTAGACTTTGTGGCATTGGGAATGTGCCTTTGTCAGCAAAGTGGGGATGACACAGTTGGGCCCAGGTGTGACATCAGTCCCGCCTGACCTCCTGGACACGTGCCCCTCTGCTCACACCCTCTCCCCATTAGGGACTCGTAAAGCACTTCGGCTCAAGGAGCAGGCCTGCAGGAAGGAGCCTGTCCCCAGCCTGGCTTCCTCCAGCATCAGGGTTCCTTAAGACCCCAGTAGGGAAGTGTGAGTGGCCCCAGGCATGCAGTCCAGGGGCCAGCACCTGGCTCTGCCCCGTCCTTCCAGCGCTGTGGGTCCTGCCCACCTGTGCGCACCACTAACTCGGCTGTCTTCTCCTTTCTCGTCACCAGGGGTCGGGCCCAGGCTCGGCGGTCCCAGGCAGCTCCGGTGTTGGAACCCCCAGACAGTTCACGCGACAAAGGATCACGCGGGTCAACCTCAGGGACCTCATATTTTGTTTAGAGAATGAGCGTGAGACAAGCCATTCACTGCTGCTCTACAAAGCATTCCTTAAGTAGCACAGGGCGGGCGCGGCAGCGCGGAGGGAGACGCCTGGGACGTTTTTATATATTTGCAGATGACGCCTTTTGTAACAAGCAAATGGGATATTGTTTAAAAAACAGCCACCTCTTTACAATGGAACAGTTTTTTATTCCTGTTTCTAAGTCAACTCTTCAGTATGGAAGAAAACACGTTTCTGTAACAGAGAACACAGAGGCCCGTGGGCACTCTGAACGGACAGTTAACTCTTAACTCATCTTTGATTGAGTGGCCTTCTTGCCAAACAAGCCATATATAAAAACTGATGGAATCGTTTAGCAAATAATTAGCTGCCCTCTGTCACCTCGTAGCGGTTTCTACATTATTTGTGCATTTTGGTTTATTCAACCCAACTTACTGCGTAGGTGTGTGTCTACAGCGATGACCTCATTTCATTTATTTTATTTTTGTATTAGTCAGTTGGCAAAGCAAACTGATTTTTTAGACTATTTATGTCCCCGTCCCCTCCCGCGCCAGAGTCCCCAAGGAGCACGGAGCTCACCGCGCGCTCGCCCGGAGTGTGGTCACCTTTCTGCTCAGGAGAGGCTACGCGGCGGCTCCTCCCGAACGTGTGCTTGGCATCTGTACGGACGCGTTTTATTTGCTAGAGTTTGTAAAGCTGTAAAGTTAAAAGAAATGAAAACCTTTTCAGCATAAATATATTTTACTTGCACTGTGTTTTTTAGCTAAAAGTGGAAACTTAGATGAAATAAAAATCAAAGTTGAGAAGAATCATCAAAAGACTGTTTCTCAGTGTGAATCAAGTGTTGAAAAATGGTTGGTGTATTTTGTCAGTAATTGTACATAATTTTTGGCACATAACATGAAAATGGCTATGTAAACTATAATTATTTTGCTAAGAGACTGTAAGCAAGCTGTGGGCCAACTTTACAGATGTCCAGAGCAAAGCCCCTTCTTTGTACCTATTTTTTTATTACAAATATACTAATTGGTTCTTTATATTTTCAGAGGTTATTGTATTAAATTGTCTATTGATAGTACTTTTATGACTGTAAATACTTTGGCTTTTTCCGTGTGAATCCTCACGTCAGACTTTACTTCGCGCGAGTGTGAACCGAATGCTGATCAGTATTTTTATCAATACCTGAAAACTGTTACACCTTTTATTTTGTCTTTTAGGAAATCCCTGTCTTTCCATTTTTTCATGTAAATTTTGCACAGTTACTTGTTCATATGTAAATATTTTACTTTCAAAAATGAAGTTTTTAATTGCTATTGTTTTATATAGGATTGAAAGAAAATTAACTCCTTTATTAAAAACAAATTTATCTGTATCTGTTTTGCCTATTTTTCCCGGTTTTCCAGGTTTAGATTCTGCTACCAGAGACTCAGCCCTGGTTCCCCTGAGGTGTTCATTTATGAGCTACTTGTTAGAATCAGTATCTAAACCCCAGCGACTCTAGTAGAAATAACCTCGCCTCCAAGGACAGGACCTCCGTGCTGCAGGGTAAGGCCCGGTGTGAGTGGTGTCTGAGGGCCCGAAGCTGAGGGAGTAATCCCTGTACGCTCGGGCCACCTGGGCCACCCCGCCTGCGTTCCGTTGCTGGGGCACCTGCCCACGCAGCTGGGGCACCCTGGGGAGAGGCACGGTAAGGCCCCGGGGGGTCTGCGCACAGGCATGTGCCCTGGTGAGCCTGGCAGGGCGACGTAATGGCCCCAGCCCCGGGGTGGACCCACAGTGACGGAGACAGACGGGGTCTCCAGGAGGCCCCACCTCCTCCCTGCCACCTCCTGTTGCAGGCTGGCCAGCACCCTGCCTCTCGAGCGCTGCAGGTAGCCAGTCGTTGGCGTGCTTGGGGTTGCTGCCCGGTTTTCACATTGATTTTAACTAGCTGGACGATAACCAGCAATGTGTGGCCTTCCTTACAAGTTACACTGGAAAATACCGCTTTCATTAGGGAGCCTTCCAGTATCTCCAGGGGCTCCCTGATACACCACAGACTGGGGGGCTTCAGCAGTAGAGGCCTGTGTCCCCATTCCGGAGGCCAGAAGTCTGCAGTCGGGGCTTGGCAGGGCCCGTGCCCTCCGAGACCATGAGGGGGTCTGTTCCGGGCCTCTTCCGCCAGCTGGTGGTGGCTGGCATCTTGGATGTCCCTCCACGTTTTCGTGGCGTTTTCTCTCTGCATGTCTGTCTTTGTGTCTGAATTTCCCCTTGTGAGCTCCAGGACACTGGTCACACCGGAGTAGGGTGCCAGCAATGACCTCATTTTAACTTGACTTCCGTAAAGACCCTGTCTCCAAGTAAGGTTGCGTTCTGAGGTGCTGGGGGCTAGCACTGCACAGATCTTTTTTTGGGGGGGTGGGAATCACACTCACCCGTAACTCCTGTGATGGCGGGGGACGGAGCCTCTGGAAGGAAGCACTCGATGCACCGTTTCGAGTCTCCCGTCCACCTGAAAGGCCCGGGATAATTTAGTGATTAGGTCACACTTGTACTTTCTAACCACGACTACTTTGTTTTTGCGAAGTTCTTGGTAGTTGGTAGAGGTCAGTTGTACTTGGATTTCTGTAGGTGTGGCTGATTTAATGTCAGTTTCTCTGCATGTCCTCCTGGGTCCCATCGCTCCGCCAAGGACAGTCGCAGCCAAGGCAAAGCCCCTGACACCAGCAGGAGACCCCGTGCGGCAGAAGCTTTGCCAGCAGACCCGAGACACATGTTTGTCCGTTGTTTTCCCCTCGTGAGACTGTTAACTGCTGCTCAGTGTCACCCCACAACACGTTATTAGTTGTGTGACGTCAGGTTTGGGAACTTGGGTGGGCTTGGAGGTCGAGGGCAGGATGGTGTGGTCCGGGACGTCTGCTCTCTCCACTCCGTTCCCCAGAGCACTGTGCTTCCAGTCAAGCAAGAAGGCAAGAACAAGAAATAAGGCATGAAGTTTTCATGAAGTTTGGAAAGGAAGAAGGCGAAGAAAGAAATCACAGATGACGCCATTGTGCCCGGAAAGTCCGGAAGAATCCACACATATGTTACTGAAGCAGAGATCTGAATTTCATGAAATTGTAGGGAACAGGGTTGGTAGCCAGAATGAAATGTGATTCTGTATTCCGGCAACCAGCAGCCAGAAAGTGAAAACGGGTCATGAATGATAGGACCAAGAATGCTGGGATACCTAGGAATACATCCGGGGAGCGACATAGAAGACCCTCCCACTGAAATTAGAGAAACGAGAGAAAGTCTGCGTGGAGCGTGCGCCGTGTTTGCGGAGTGGACTCGGATTGCTGTCCTGATTGATCCCATGCCGCCCCACTCACATCCCAGCAGGGCTTCCGCTGACACTGACTGATTCCAGAGACTCTTTGGACAGCTCCGACGGTCTAGAGCAGACATGGAGCATTCACACTCCCAGATTTTAAGACTTCCTGTAAGGCTGCGGTCATCGAGTCGGTGTGGCATTGGCATGAGGGCAGACGTGACCAGTGAATGCCAGAGTCCAGAGGCGGATCTGGATGTTACGGCCGCTAGACTTTAGACAAAGACAGCAAAGTGGTGAAGGCAGGACAGCTGCTGGTGCAGCTGGGTGGCCTGTGGGCCGACAGTGAGAGTTGCCCCTGTGTTCACACACACGCAGATTAATTGGAGATGGATCATAGGCCTGAAAGTGGGAGCTGGGAGTCCAAAGCTTCTAGAAGAAAACGTCAGAGAAGATGTTCACGACCTTGGTGTGGGCAGGCACAAGCCATAAAGAAAAAAATGGCGAAGTGCACTTGAAATTTGCGCTCGACCGAAGATGCCCGGGGAGGGTGGAAGGGAGGCCGCGGACCGGGAGGGTGCGTGTGGGGTGTATAAACCCGACAGAACCCGCATGGGAAATATAGCAAGAATTACCTCGATAAAAATGTATAAAAGACCTGTAAGTGGCCAGTAAGCAAATGAGAAGGTTGCCCATCAGGACTGGTCATCAGAGAAATGGAAATTGAAGCCGTGGTGTGAGCCCGCCACACGCCTGCTGTAGGGGCCCAGACGGAGAGGTATCAGAGGTCCCCCACACGCCGCCGGCGGGCCAGTCTCGCCACTCTGGGCAACTGTTGCACTTTTGAGGAAGCAAAGCGTGTATCTACCCTGTGACCTCGCAGTTCCCGCTTGCGTATCTCCTCGAGAGAAACGATTGCCTTTGTCCACCAGAGACCGGACGGGAGTGTTCGCAGTGCCGGTTGTCCCGGATGGGCCGAAGTGGGAGCGGCGGATACACACCGTAGTGTGTTTGTCAATGGAATACGACCCGGGAGTAAAAAGGAATAAGCTGCTGACCACTCAGTAATGTCGATGAATCTCTGAAGAATGCTGAAGAGAGAAGCCAGACGCAGAAGACCCCATGCCGCCTGGTTCCATATGTAGGAAGCTCGCATAGGAGAACTCCCAGAGGTGATGGGAGTCCACATGGTTTGCCCTGGTGGCTGGTGGGAGGGGCACCAGGACCCCTTTGGGCTGATGGGAATGTTCTCTCTCCATCTGGGTGGTGCTCACATGGGTGTGCATGAGTGTAAACAGGCCGACAGGTAAGGTCTGTGCATTTTAGCATATATAAAATGTACTGCAAGGGGCGCCTGGGTGGCTCAGTCGGTTAAACGTCTGCCTTCAGCTCAGGTCATGATCCCAGAGTCCCGGGATCAAGCCCCATATCGGGTTCCGTGCTCAGCGGGGAGCCTGCTTCTCCCTCTCCTTCTGCCTGCCTGTCTGCCTACTTGTGATCTCTCTGTCGAAATAAAATCTTAAAACAAAAACAAAAACGTATCGCAGTAAAACCTGGGGAAAGACTCTGGCTTCGGGCCCCCCTGGGTGGGACCTCAGCTCCACCTACGCAGGTCACCCGGCCCCACGTGATCCGGTGCCACATGAGAGGAGGTGTGTGGGTGTCTCAGGATAGGTGGCAACTCGTGATCTTCTTGTGATTATCTGTGGTCACTGGTTAACTAGTTGAGTGTTAACTAAGTTTTTCCTTCTATCAGACTGTGGTCTCCCAATGTAAGTTTTGACTTAAAAAAAAAATAACGTTCTACTTAGTCTTCCTCCATCCCCGCATCGGGGCCCGGCTTGCCCCAAGCCCGACCCTGCCCAGCGTGAACAGCCGAGGCTGCAAAGCATCTGTTCTGGTCTCACGCTCTGTCCGAGCAGCTGTGGGGACCCATCTGGAGCCTCTGGATCCTCCGTGTTGTGCTCTCACGGAGGAGGCCATGCAGTTAGACCACAGTCCAGCGACGGGCTGCCAGCTCATCCCCTCCTCTGGGCCATTCTGGGTCACACCGGGGCCACGTGTGCCCAGGGAAGACCAGCCCAAGGAACTTACCCTTCTCCTTAAGAGACAAATCACACCTGTTTTCCAAGAATCTAATTGCTCGTTCAGGCTGCTTCCTAAGGCTTTGTCCTAGCTGCCAGAATTTCTATATTTTTGAGGAGAATGGGCATGCCCTGATCTTTTTTCCTAAAATGTATGTATTCAGCAAGTGTCAACGAGCACCTCTCACATGCAGGGTGCCTTCCCAGGGGCTGGCGGGTGTGGCCAAGGCACAGTCCCTGGAGGAGGCCAGACAGGGCTCGGGCTGGGAGAAGTGGCCGGGGTGGAGTGCACCTGGAAGGACGGGGCTGTCTCCTCTGGGCGCATCGGGAGAAGAAGGCGGGAGCAGCTTCGCGCGTGCTTCTTTGGAAATCAGGGTCACAGTAAGAGACCAGCACTCACCGCTAGCTCGGGCGCACCCGGAGCCCTGCGGGGCTGGAGGCCATGCAGCCCGGGCCAGTTTCTGGAGAAGTGTGGCGTGCGTCAGCCTGTCCACCGCCTTGCCCATCCGCGCGCTCCTGGACACTTCTCCCCCAGAACCTTCCCAGATTCGTCCCCACAAAGATGTGTACAGTCCTGTTCATGGCAGCTTTATTTGAAATGGCGAAGATCTGGAAGTGCCCTAACTGTCCGAGTACAGGTGAACGGCTAAACTGGTCTGTGGGTGGTGCCACCCACGCAGCGAGGGGCACCTGCTTGGTCGCAGTGTGAGTGCGAGAAGCCCGAGGACAGCAGCGCCCTGCGGGGGGTCCGGAACTGCAGCGTCCCCCACAGCCTGGAAGCCGGCAGGGGTCGCTTGGGGCCTGGGGGGCCTGCAGAGGGGGTGAGGAGACTCAGGGTTACCCTGATCGTGGTGACGGTTTCACGGGCGCCCACGAACGTCAGGACTCAGCACGTGGGACGCGGTGAACATGGGCTGTTACCAAACATCAGAAATCTCTCCAAGATGCGAAAACGAGTGACTAAGAGTAAAAAGTAAAGCACCTGTTCTCCTCTGGCTG